CCCCAAAACCCCAAAACCCCAAAACCCCAAAACCCCAAAACCCCTTGTATTAATTATTACATTGCAGTCTTAATTATTATTTATTAAATATAAGACATAACTCTTCAAGATGGAAGGTAAGAATATCATTTTAAAAGCAGCTAGCCCAGGTTCGTTATCTGAAAGAGCTTGCTGCCAAAAGTTAACAAAATCAAATTTATTCCCCTGCATTGCCTATTGGGCTCCCTCCATTTGAACGTAATTACTATAACCACGACAAAACAATCGATTGAGTGTTTTTATAGAAAAAGGAGATATTCAGGCTGGATTTGCCGTCGAGCAAACTTTGTTCGGTAAATGGTCATACAGAGGTATTGAGTGTGAGGACCAGTCACTCGAAAGCTACGTCAGTGTCAAGACCACCAAGTCCAAGGTTTTCTACCCACACACCGCCGGAAAATACCAAACTAAGCAGTTCGATAAAGTGAGATGCCCACTCGTAGAGAGACTTGTCAACTCATTGATGTACAAAGGAAGAAACAATGGTAAGAAGCAAATGGCCGTCAGAATTGTCAAGCAAGCCTTCGAAATCATCCACTTATTAACCGGAGAAAACCCAATTAAGGTTCTTGTCGATGCCATCTCTAACTGTGGAGCCAGAGAAGAATCAACCAGAATTGGATCAGGAGGTAACGTCAAGAGACAGGCTGTCGATGTGTCTCCATTGAGAAGAGTCAACCAGGCTTTCTATCTCATGTGCAAGGGAGCCAGAGAATCATCATTCAGAAACATTAGATCTATCGCTGAATGCTTAGCTGACGAAATTCTCAATGCTTCAAAGGCTAGCACCAACTCTTTCGCTGTCAAGAAGAAGGATGAGACCGAAAGAACCGCTAAGGGAGACAGATAAACTAAAAGCCTTATTGCTGCTAATAAATTGCAAAATCTTATCTCAACATTTCTATAACAGTTCATTTGACTCTATTATAGTTCAATTTTACCATTTATATTCGGGGTTTTGGGGTTTTGGGGTTTTGGGGTTTTGGGGTTTTGGGGTTTTGGGGTTTTGGGGTTTTGGGG